AGTGTCTAGAATGTGCAGAACACCAGGCAGCTGGAGTGGAGCTTTACAAAGACGCAGGATTCCAAGTCTGTGCCCTCAAATGGTCTGTAATCTAATGAAGGAAGCAAAATACACCCACAGGACACCAGTGTATCAACAAATACAGTTACCTGAGGACAAACAGGAAGGTCAAGTAAAAATGTGCAGCATTAAGTCAATCATAGAAGGCAGTGTGGGGGGGCGGTGAGAGCCCCCTTTCTTTTTTGTTTGAATTGGACCTCAGATGCAGAAGATTAAGTTAATTATACTCCTTATTACTTCTCAATGCTCCACGTTATCATTATCATTGGTCTGTGCAAGGCCCCTCTCGTTTTATTTATTTTTTTCTCTTTTATTCTTACTCCCATTTTCATTCTCCTCCTTCCATCGTCACCCATTCTAACATATTTAATATGTATCTATTTTTTGGTATGTGTTTTTGTTTTTGTTTAGTTTATTGACGTATAATTGACATATAACATTATACTAGTTTCAGGTATACAAAATAATGATTCAATATTTGTATACATTGTGAAATGATCACAATAAGTCTAGATAACATCTGTCACCTTACAGAGTTACAAAAAAAATTTTTTTCTTGTGATGAGAACTTTTAGGATCTACTCTTTTAGCAACTTTCAAATATGCAGTAAATATAGTAGTATTAACTATAGTCACCATGCTGTACATTACATCCTCATGACTTACGTATCTTATAACTGGAAGTTTGTACCTTTTGACTACCTTCACCCATTTCTTCCATCCCCCACCCCTGGCCTCTGGCAACCACCAGTCTATTCTCTGTATCTATGAGCTTGGGGGTTCTTTTTGTTTTTTTGTTTTTGTTTTAGTATGTGTTCTTGAAAATGTGAATTATTGATCTGTATGCTTGTATTTTAAATTTATGTAAGCAGTATTCTACATCTCATTCTGGGTTTTTTGGTTTTTTCACTTGGTGCCATGCTAAGATTTATCCTTGTTGCTATGTGTAGCGATGGTCCGTCTGGCCGGTTGCTTTCAGTATTGTGTCATCCTCTGAGGTGTGCATCTACCTGATTTTACCTCTTCCCTCCCCAGTGATGATCACTGAACTTGCTTCCAGGTCCCTGCCACATAAACAACACAGTGATGAACATCATCACACATGACCCCTTATGGATGTGTCGAGAAATCTGGGGGACATAGACCCGGGAGCAGAATTGCTGTTTCATGGGGTATGTGTGAACTTAATATGACCCAGTAGTGCCAGGTCTCTCCCCCAACAGTTGCCCGAGCTATACCCCCACCAGCTGTGCCCCTAAATTCCCACATCTGCTCCAACACTTTGCATTATCCAGCTTCCCATTTTCTGCCAGTCCTACCATCATAGACTGATAGCTCATTGTGGTTTCAACTTGCATTTCTCAGATTACTCGTGAGTTTGGGCATCTCTTGATTTTCTTGTTAGCCTTTTGGGGTCCTCTTTCATAAGCCACCTGTCCATCGCCCATTATTACATTGGGGTTCTCTTTTTTCTTCCCTTGATGATCTGCAAGGGTTCCTTGTATCTCTTAGAGAGGCCCCTTCTCAAAGGGCAAATGCCTGTTTTTTGCTGTAGTTGCCCGTCTGGGGCAAAGGAACCAATCTGGCCACCGACTCTTCACACCCTCATCCTGGAGGTCAGGGCTTAGCAATGGCCATAAGTACAATCAAAGTAAAAGGAACCCCTTCCTTCGATCCCCTCTGCCAGCCTTGCCTGAGGATTGCTGTCTGGAAGACAGGTAACAAGGAGGAAAACTGTTCCTCTTCTCCGAGGCTGCTAACCTGCTGTGTCAATTTCATGAGTTAATAAATGATTGGAGAAGGCTTAATTGCATCGGAAGAAATTGAGATCAGCCGGTGCTAAGGCCCCACTCAATTAACTTGTACTCCTAAGGGGGCCGAGTAGGGAGCAGGGGGCAGCCGATTATTAATTACATGTGCTGCTGCCAGCTGCAGCTGGCGTATCCTGCCAGCGTTTGCTAGGGCAGTGAGGGAGGGGACCCTGTCTCAGAGCGCTGAAGTCACTGAGGGCAGGGGCCCTTCAGAGAGAGCACAGACCCCTGGCCTTGTGGGGAGTGGGAAACCCATTTCCCAACCCATTCTATCAGGGTGGCTTTTAATGCCCCCCCAGTCTCCACCAGAAGAATGGCCTTTAAGGACCCCCATCCTGACCTCTTTATAGGCTTCATCCCACCCAGAGACCATGTACCTATGCTTCTCCTCGCATTCCCCTCCTCCTCCTGCCTTCTGGGCCACTTGCCCCAAGGACACAGGATCCGGAGCCCGTCTTGTTATGGGCAGCAGATGACGCCACAGGCTCTGCAAGGTCACCCACCTCGCCTGCTGCCTCCAGCCTGAAATCCTCAAAGACCTTCATTCCTACATCATTTCCCAAAAGGGCCAGATGGTAAGATTCAAACCTGTTAAAAACACGGAGTCCCGGGCGCCTCCCTGGGAGATGCTGCTTCAGTCGGTCTGGAGTCTCCATTTTTTCACATGTGGCTTAGGTGATTGTTACCATCAAGCCAACTTGAGAAACTCTACTTCAGGGGATACCTTAGCTCCTGGTGAAATAAGTGCAGATCTTCTGGAAGGAGAGACAGTGTACTAATGGCAGGACCCTGGCCTGGGGCCAGCAGGCTCCACTCCCAACACCTCTCCTGCTCTGTCTCTTATCTTGCTGTGTGTGGTTAAGCAAGTCACTTGTCCTCTCTGAACTCAGTTTCTTCATCTACAAAATAAAGCTATTGGGCCAGATCTCTTAGACCTTCCACTTCCGCGGATCATTTTTCTATAAGTAATTGCAGTGTTAAACAAGCATGTTGCATGGGTTGCGCTGAAAATGCAACTTTGATTTTTTTTCTTCGAGCATCTCTTTGCTTTAAAATGTATTCAGTGGGAGAAATCTACCCTGCCCTAGATAAAAGTTGGGCCAGTCCTGTTGCTTTTCCATTCCCTCTTAGGTGATGGTCTTATAGTCACTCTAAGGTATGGATGTGGTCTCGACTCAGAAATTAGAATGCCAGTCACAAATAATAATCAAAACTCTCCCAATCTGACCACGTTATCCTTCTCCTTTCCTCCCATTTGGATCAGCTTCAGGCTAGAAGCGACTTGGGCGGTGGGCCACATCCCACTGCTGTTTGCACCCCCTACTCTGGCCCTCCCTCCTGCCACCCCCAAGAGCTGCTGTTTCCCTACCTCCAGGATTGAAATGGGGAATGCTTACTGGTTAGAGACTCTTAAAACTGGCTCTTGCTTTTGTAAATGTTTTTGTGGGCTCTTCTGAGGGTCCCTGCTGGGCCCCACTCTCCTGCTGTTCCCTTAACCCAGGCGAGCATGACATCTTTATTCCAGGCGTTTCTTGCAACTCCTGCCGAGCCTTGGGCATCTGGAGGCCACCTCCAGCCTCATCAACTGGGGTCTTCTCGTGCTTCCAGGTGGCACTATTGGACAGGACTCAAGACAGCCGGCCCTTTCCAGCACTGTGGCCCTCTCCCCTGGGGGTTGGAGTGAGGGATTATGGCTCAGCAACAGCTCTTGCCAAGGAAATCTTCCTCACCAAGTCTCCACCAAATTCTTGACCCATCTTTATTTTACAAAGCTGTGGAAAGGGTTCATGGATCCTGAAACAGACATTCTTAGATTCCTGTGTACATTCCCCTGCACATGGAGGGCAGAGGGACCTGTCCTGAAGTCACTTTAGTCCTCTGACTTCTATCAATTGGCATCTCAATCAAAAGTTAGGTAGGAAGGGTCTCGCTCTGACATCCAGCTACATATGTCTTCTGTTTTAATGAACATGAGAACATCTTTGAGAAAAGAAAGGCTGACTGCCCACAACACCAAAGGCAGGAGCTGGAGACAGTATTGAGGCCTAGATCTGGAAGGGAGGTGAAGGGGATGGGCAACTCTGTAGGTGAACGTCTGCTCCTTCTCAACTTCTCCCTGAGCTCTGCTCCTGAGACCTGCTGACCTCAGATGAGCACCAGTCCCTGAGACATGCTAACGTCTGTCCTTTGACCTCTTGCTTCTGGCCGAGGCAGAGAGCCTGGAGGTGGTCTGGCCTGTCCCCATGGAAGATGGCTCTGTGAATCTGGTTAATGGTTGGGTTCCCTCCCCAATACAAACACACACCCAGTGGGGCCTGCCCTCCTCAGGACAATGAGCAGGGGCTGAGCATCACCACCAGAGGGCGTCCTTTCTCTCCCCACTCCCCGATTCCCAGGGTAGGGCCCAGGCTCTCTTCTAAATAATGTGGAGTGGATATTTAAAGAATTTTGGTTTGAAGGGACCCCCAATAATTGGACTTCTAAAAATTTCAGTTGGGTCCTGCCTCCCCCTCCTCCATCAGCACTACAGTTGGATGATCTTGTCATCACATGATAATCTTGTCATCTTGCAGAACTTGTTCATCTGACTGTCCAGTTGGCATGTTGACCTGAAGGAAGTCAGGATATTGGAGTAAGGGAAAAGAGTGTGCAGCTTTGGGCACTGGGAATATGGACAGGGAAGAATGCAGAAGGGAATGGAAAAGAGGTCTGTGGGCCATAGTGGGAGGGATCAGCTGTGCAGGCAATAAGGGGACAGGTCAGAATTCTCCAGTGGAGCGTGAATGAGGCCACTGGACTCCCTTCCCCCCAGTGAGCCTCACTTCCCAGAACAGGCAGAGCCTCTTGCCCAGCATCCTGTGCCTGCATTGGGCAGTGGGTTCTGGACAGCAGCACTGAGGGAAAGGACAGGATCCTTGGACAGGATAGGATGTGGCCTTAGAGGTCTGTCCTCAGGTCTTAGGTTGGGGGCCTCAGAGACTGAGGCAGCTGTGGAAGTCAAGAAACAAGCCCCTTAGGGGACTTCCACTCCGGAGTCATGGGGTCACAAGCAGGTGCCAAGGCAAGCCTGTCTGGCCTCCCAGCCTCCCCCTCCAGCTCTCACTGACCTTCCCCTCTCTTCTCTGGCAGGGACTGATGCCCTTGGCCATGACACACCCCCAACTGCTATCTGCTCAGGTGCAGCAGACTGAGTGACTGAGCCATCGCTGCTCCAGCTGTTTCACGTAAGTGTAAGGCTCTGGAGAGGGTGCCTGGGCCCTGGGTGGGGAGGGGGCTCCAGATAGTCCTGGTCACAGAGGGCAGGCCGCAGGAGTCTTTGGTGGGCAACAGGTTTGTCCTGTTTGGCTGCCTTCAGTCCCTGAGTTGGTCACCACTGAATCGTCTGTCCAGATCTGCTAGGTCCTGGGAGGGAGCATAGGGCCCTCTTTCTCCTGTCCCCAGACACTAACCAGGAGGCGGCTGGTATGATGGAAACTCCACAGCATTGGCCCTTGGGTCCTGACTCAGACACTTGCTATTGTATGACTTCAGGCAAATCACTTAATGGTCTGGCTTCCCCTCCTGCATGTGGGGTTTTGTACAGTTCAAAGGAGGTGCATTAGTTATCTTTTGCTGCATAACAAACTACCACAAACTTAGCAGCTTGAAACAACACACATCGATTATCTCACAGTTTCTGTGGGTCAGGAATCCAGGCACGGCTAGCTGGGGCCACTGTTTCAGGGTCTGTCATGAGGTTGCATTCAAGGTGTCCACTGGGGTTGGAGTTTCATTTGGAAGGCCAACTGGGGAAGGATCCACTTCTGCTCTCACTTATGTGATTGTTCAGTTCCTTTGGGGCCGTTGGCTTCAGGGCCTCAACTCCTGCTGTCCATTGGACGGGGGGCCAGAGGCCACCCTCAGTTCCTTGTCACATGGGCCTCCCCAACATGGCAACTTTCTTCATCAAAACCAGCAAGGGAGAGTGTTGGCTCGCAAGAGGGAAGTCAGAATCTTATATGACCTATTCCCAGAGGTGACATCCCATCACCTTTGCTGTATTCTGTGGGTCAGCAGCCAGTCACAGTTCGTACCTGCCCACAATGCATGACTGCCGGGAGGCAGGGCTTGTTTGAGGCCATCTTAGAGCTTGCCCATCACAGAGGGGATGTAAAAGGAAGCACTTTGTAAACTGTAGAATGCTGTTTACATGCAGGAAATTATTGTTATCATTTGCATCTAGTTACAAAGAGAACCTGAGGCCACCTGAAATCACAGAGAGCCACTGCATGTGGGAATTTAAATGCTGAATTGTACTATTAGTACTGGGCCCTCAGGGGAACTGGCTGGGACCTGGCTAGTTCACTTTACGTGTGCCCTTTACACACGTCTTCTTGGCCTATGATTATAAGGCCAGACTTCAGCAGCCACAAAATGCCTAGCCTTCCTTTTCCCCACAAATAACCATGTTTGGAGGATCTTTTAGAGTTTACAGAGGGCCCTCCCATACATGAATCTCACTTTTTCCTCACCATTATACTTGTAAGCTGAGTTTTTTGTTAATGTCTCTTTTGCGAGTGAGAAAGAAGGTCAGTGTCTGAGATGGGGTGGCTGCTAAGTGGCACAGCTGGGCCTTGAACCTGGGCCTTCAGACCCGTGCCTCTGCCTGCACTGCCATGTGCCCCATCTCCAGGCCACTTCTGCTGTACAGCCTCTGTGGTACTGAAAGAGGGGAGGGCAGGAGGAGGGAGGGCACTGTTCTTACATGGCTTCATAATTCCCTGTCTCCTAAAACAGGCTGGGCACATCCCAGATGACTAGGCCACAACTTTCAGTAGTGGCTCACTGCTTCCTCCTGCAACTTCAGGTCACTCCGTAGGCCTCTCTGTCTCAAGCAGCCCTCAGTGGTGAGCATGCAGGGGAAGCAGGGCAGGGTGCAGTGATGCTGTAGTGAAGGCACGTAAATCCTCCCAAAGCTGAGGCTCATCTGCCCCCCACCGAATGTCCCCCAGTGAACCCCTGAATCATAGTTCCCCATGCATCTGGGCAGAGTCTAATTGGTCTTAACAGTGATGCTCAAGGCTGCAGATGGGATGTGAGCTGAGAGATAGAACTTGCTGCCCCCTGGTGGTAGATCAGAGTCATAACTGCCAAGCCTGTGAAAGAAATGCCAGACCATGAGAAGTGAGATTATTACCAGACTTTTATTAAGTACCCGCTATGTGCCAGGCACTGTGTATAATGCTGCAGGGGGCAGGAAACAGTATAAGACACAATTCTTGATCCCAAAGACTCATAATTTAGTGGAGGAGTCAAGATGTTCCCATATGAAAGTTGATAAGCATCCTACCAAGAGAGGATTTGAAAAGTGGCACAAAGAAAGGCATTGCAGTAGGAGTCCAGAAAGAGAGAGAGCATCTGGATGGGCCGGTCAGGGAGGGCTTCTCAGAGCCTTGAAGGATGGGCAGGATTTAAGTGGATGGAGGAAGCGAGGTCATGCCCTCCCCTACTGAAAGCCTGCAGGAACCCCCGGCAACCCTGAGCATTAAATCCCACTTCCTCGCCTGGCTTACAGCCTCCCCAAGGGGGCTCCAGGACCCCCCACCCTGTCCTGGCCTCTCCAGATTCCTTACAGTTCCCAGAATCCCCGTTCTTTCATACTTCTGGACTATCTGTTCTGCCCTCTCCACCTTTTCTGCTGGACAAGCTCTCACTCAGCTGCTAGGATTCGCTCACACATAGCATCCTCCACGGATCATTCCCCCAGTAGTTAGTTGCCTCCCGCCCCCGCTGTGTTCCCACAGCCCCTGGTCTGTGTGTATCTGGTTGTATGTCTATGCCATATCATAAAGTATGTTGTGTCTTTTAATCACTAGGCTATATGCTTCCTAAGAACTGGGACTGCCTGAGAGGCAGAGGATTCCTGTAGGAGGACAGTGGGAGGGGAGGAGGGAAAGGTCATTGGTGAGGAGCATGCAGGGAAGTGGGGCGGGGCAAGGCCTTTGAAGTTCCATCTAAAAATTCGTGTCCAGATCCATGTATCCTGCGGGCAGTGTGACGCTGGGAAGGCTCTGGAGGACTAAGGGGCATTGGGGCCTGGTGAAAGGCTAAACTGTGGGTGGCGCAAAGGGTGCTCAGAGACAAACCAGTGAGCCGGGTTAGGAAACCACTGCAGGAGTGCAGGCACGAGATGCAAGGAGTCTTCACTAAGGTAGAGAACAGAAGACTGGGGGAAGCCAAAGAAGAACTTGTGAGTTTTAAGGTCTGGACAACTAGGGGACACCCCATGGCACTGTCTAACTCTAATGTGCAAAGTCATCGCCTGGGGCCTTGTTAAATGCAGATTCGGACTCACTAAGCCTGGGGTGGGGCCTGGGATGCTGCATTTCTACCCGCTCCCAGGTGCTGCCCGTGCTGTGGTCCACAGAGCACACTGTGAGCACCTGAGTGAACCAGAAGCAGTGCCGGGGTGCATGCAGCATGATGGGGAGGAGCAGATGGAGTCGGTGGGTGAAGAGAAAGGTGCCCCTTCCGCCAGGTGAACACAGCAAGGTGCACGGCTTCAGAGCAGAGTGCAGCATGCGTTCCAGCCCCACCTGCCCTCTGAGTAACAAACAACTGCAGAAGCCTCCAGAGCAGCTCTGGGGGAACCACTAACAGATGGAGAGGTCGGAGGAGGGGAGCCCATTCGGAGAGAGGGTGATGACTTAGCCTGTCATAATCGAGTTCGAGGTGCCAGTGGGACATCCGAGTGAAATGTCTGTCTCCGAGCAGTTGGAGACACAGCTGGAGAACCAGATTTGGGATTTGCAGGCTTATTGTTGGTAGAGCACACAGTGAGGAAGGCAAGATGAGGTGGGGTAGAGCGGAGGGACCAATCCACCCTTGGGGCCTTTTTCAGGGGGTAACGCTTCTTCCAACATCTCCGTCCCTTTTGTTGTCTTGCAGGTCACCGTTGTCTTTACTGAATGTAAGTGCCCATGGTCACTCTTCCATCCTCAAGATGCCAGTCTCCTCCCACCCGCCTGCTCCGTTGGCACAGCCGGCCTTGGTCCCCATGTGCCTGGGGGGCTCGGAAATCCCCACTCAGTGGCCCAAAAGGGGAATCTGCTGGGAGATTCCAGAGCTCACCTCTGTCCCATTAGTTCAGCCTCCATTAGCCAGGACCCGTCTCCCAGCCTCGCCACAACCTTCCAGGAGCCGAATGCCACCTGCCCGCTCCCTCTGGGCTCACCTTGTGCTTGTTTTCCACAAAAGGAGTGTGCGTTTGAGCCAGGGCAGAACCAGGCGGAACCTCTTGAGATCCGTGGCCTGTCCCCCCAGCTGGGGTCAAAAGCTCAGGGACCATTGGTGTTCGGGCCCTGGAGGGCAGTGATGAAGAGCATGGCCGTTGGGGTGAACCAGGCTGGGCATCCTAGCCAAACCAGCCAAAGCCTCAGTTCATCCTGGGTGAGACAGGGATAGTTAATAACTGTCCCAAGAGGTTACTGTGAGGATCAACTGAGAGAACCAGCGGAGTGCTTGCTCAGTGCTTCACACAGACTAAATTACACTTCACTTAGCGCTCAGCCTCCTCTCTTCCCTCCACAGCTGGAAGCCCCTGGGTTGGCTGGCCCAGGCCCTGCACCACAACCACCCTCTGTCTTCAGGACGCCCCTGGTGTCCTGGTGCCCAGGGCCCTCTCTGCTCCGGCTGCTCTCAGGGCCCCCCTGCAAAGTCATCTCCAGCTGTGTAGAAAGTTCCGCAGGGGCTGCCCTGCCCCATGCCTATGCTCACCTCTCCACACATATCTTTGCAGAGTTTGATGGGGCATCGGGCGGATGACAGCGGGAACGGTTGTGATCACTGGCGGAATCCTAGCTACGGTCATCCTCCTCTGCATCATCGCTGTCCTGTGCTACTGTAGGCTCCAGGTCAGTCCACTGGACCTGTGGCCAGAGGCCACCGGCAAACCACTTCCTCATTATGGGGGCAGAAACTGGATGCCCACTTTGAGGGTGACAAAGCCCAGAGCTATGGAATGTGGGAGGTGTAAGGCAAGGGGGCTGGGAGTTGGGAGGCGGTCAGAAGGGAGCCATGCAGCCCTGCACCCTTCAGGGCACCCAAAGAGAGTATGCTGGGAAGATACTGGGTCATTGTGTTGTGTCTCCTGCACTTCTGAAATTTCAGGAGTGTTGGGCAGGGCACCATTCTGGGAAGACTCTGAAAGCTGCTCCCAGCAGCCCTGTCCTCAGTATGATTTGTGTGTCCCTCCCTCCCTCCCTCCCTCAACTTGGGGCTGGAGTTAATGCAATGCGAAGTAGAGGGAAGGAAAAGGGAAAGTAACCCTCTTGCAAGGCTGGGATATACACTTGTGGAATGTGGGCTTCTTGGTGTTGAGTTCTATCTCTAGCACCAACAAAGTGCCGGGCACAGGGTCCTCAATGGGGCAGGGGCGTGGGTGCCTGGCACACTCAAAAGGGAGCGCTCGGCCCTCAAGCATCCCCCCTCTCCCCCCAGTATTACTGCTGCAAGAAGAGCAGAGCCGAGGATGCAGACGAGGAGGAGGCGGAGGAGGAGGAGCACGACCTGCCCACACCCCCCAGAGGCCCCACCTGCAATGCCTGCAGCTCCCAAGCCCTGGATGGCCGAGGCGGCCTGGCGCCTCTCACCGGCGAGCCCTGCGGCCAGCCGTGCGGGGTGGCAGCCAGCCACTGTGCCACCTGCTCCCCATACAGCTCCCCCTTTTACATACGGACGGCTGACATGGTGCCCAATGGGGGTGGAGGCGAGAGGCTCTCCTTTGCTCCCTTGTACTACAAGGAGGGGGGCCCTCCAGCCCTCAAATTGGCAGCACCCCAGAGTTACCCGGTGACGTGGCCAGGCCCTGGGCGCGAGGCCTTCACCAATCCAAGGGCTATTAGCACAGACGTGTAACCCCTTTCACCCGCAAGCCCCACACACACCAAGCTGCTGGCCCAGCAGGAGCCATGGGGGCAGCGATGACCCCTCTGACAGCCTGTAAGGACTGTCTCAGTTTCTTTGGCTTTTCTTGCCCCCTCAGTGGAGGGTTCACCAGGATTCAAGCTATTGAGTGCTTTGGGAACCAGGGCAGGGTCTGGTTCCAACCCTGTGGCCCAGAGGTGAGGGCCTGACAGGTGGAGTTGGCAGCTTTGCCATTTTCTCTGTTGGGACATTCCTCTGGCCAGCCCTGCACCGCCACGACCCTCTCACTTCTCCCCTACCCCGGCTTTGCGGACTGTGAGGGGAGGAGCACCAGGGAGAGCTAAGCAAAGGCACCAGAGGCTTCCAGAGTCCTTGGAGGATGAAAGAAGAAAAGAGGATGAGGGGCAGGGGCGAGGTGAGAACTAGGACATGGCACAATTTGGGAAGGAGGCGGTGTGAAGGGACCTCTTCAGGACTTGCTAAAACGCATCCCAGAGCTAGTTGACAATCTAGTTTTGTACTTTGGTGACCACAGAGACGGCAGTCCTGTAGCTGCTCCAATATGGGTATTGGTTCCTGAACACGCCAGATCTGTATCTGCGCCCTTCCTCATGGGACACGTCGAGTTGACTTTAACGGCCATGACATAAGGTTATTTGTGGGGTCTGCACCAAAAAGTGACTGTCTAACCTTGTCTCCCCGCAAATCCTCTTTCTCTGCTTCGGGAACCGGCTGCCCCTGCTGGAAAATCCTTTTCAAGTTTTCTTACTGGAATTCGAGTAGCTTAGTGAGTGAGATTTGCTGATGGTCTCCAGGGCCCTGGTCCACCACACTGAGCGGTGTGCGTGGATGCAGTCCTGTGAGGGCATGTGCGTTCTCAGGGGCGTGCACACACACCAGTCACCACCAGCACACAGAGGGGTCTTTGCCACCTTCAGGAGCTGCAGAGTGGAAGGATCTCTGATGTACCAACTAGAAAGAAAAATCTGACCCCAGACAGCATGTGCCGAAATATGATTATGGTTGCCAATCTCCACAGCAACCAGCTGGCTGGTACTGAACGGCCTGAGAGTCTCCCATGGGACGATGCTGCAGCCGTTGAAGCCACATAAGCCCCTCTAGAGGCCCGGAGTTCTGTTCCACCCAGGACACTATAGAGTGGACCACTCATTCCACCAGGGACAGCAGCCCTTGCTCCTGGGTGGGATTTGACTTAGCAATTGGATTCCACGCTCGCTGCCCTCGCTCTGCTGCCCCAGCCCCCAGTCTCCGGGTAAGGGCCTATTTATTGCTGTCTCACTCCAGCCCCAAGTCCACCTCCCACTTCCCTGCTTATAACTCAGCCGTGGCCTTATGCTAATTGAGTGAATGCATCTGGTGAGTTTTCCAGTTGCCTCAGCAGTAAGGGGTGGCTGCCCCCGCTTCTAAGGACATACAAAACCCCCACCCACTCCTGAGTTCTGAATGAGGCCCATCTGCTGCAATCTTGATTTTCCATTTGAGAAAGGGCAGGGGGCAGCTGGGGGAGTGGGGGAGGGGGAGAGAATTCTCCACAACTTCTGCATCACTCTGTTCGGGCACTTGTCACCTTGCATCTCCATCTGTAGTTAAGGCACGCTGGGTTGAGAATCAGAGGACCTAGCTCTGGTCACATTTTGATCACTCGTTAGCTCTAGGACCAGTCACTTATCTTCTCTGAGACTCCATTTTCTCCAGGGAAATGAGACTTGCGCAGATGGACTCTGAGGGTCCTTAAGTGCTCCACGAAGCCAGACTTCCTGAGAAGATCTGCCGGCCGGGCCACTCTCTCTTGCCCTAATCCCTGCAGGGGCTGGATGCACTTGCCAACTGCCTGATCCTGTGTGCAGGGATGCGTGTTGACGGACCAAAGACCACAGTAAAACACAGGACTAGCAGGCAAAACAATTTTCATTGTCAGTGAAAAGCAAGCATGTTTGTCTGACCCTCCTACTGAGTGACCTCGAATGGTAAGGTTTCTCTTCTACCAGGAGGCGACTCTAGGTGGAGGTAGTGAGATCTGTCTCTGAGCGCAGAGGGAGCAGCTTAGGACAGCAGCTTTACCATATCCCATGCCCCCGCCAGCCCTTACTGGGCCACGAGCACACCCTAGACGTGAGCTGCTGGGCCTGGCCGCCCTCGCCGCTTCCTGACTGCCAGCCCCAGTGCCTTGCTGCCCTGGAATTCCACAGCCAATCGACCACAGCAGTGGCTGTCCTCCCTCAGCAGAAAGTAAGAATGTCTTCATACCGCCGGCCTTTGGAGAAATCAAGACAACCGTTAACCATGACCCGCTTCTTGCCCCTGATCTACTGGGGTCCCTGAGTGCAAAGCATCTTGTGCAGTCCCATCTCCTCCCATAGCTTCCGCAGCCCGAATTCTGTCAACCCACAAATCAAAATCTGGGTTTGGGGCATTGGAGAGACGGGGGGCCACAGCTCTCCCCCACAGGCCCCCATCGCTCAGGGCACAGGCTCAAGATTGCCTGGCCGCCTCCCTGTGGTTGGGAGGGCCTGGCCCGTGGAAGAGGAAGCTCATCGCGCTCAGCTGCGCTGCACTGTCCAGCTGTGGAGTCTGCGCTCTGGGACACCATGTGGACACTTTTCAAACTGCACCCTAAACAGGAAGAGAAGGAAGGACGGGGGAACACCCAGCCCTCTCCGCCATATTGTCTCCACCTCCACCTCACTACTCCTGCTACAGATTTCTTGTCCTGCATCTTTGATAACTTGGAGTCACAACCAAGTGAATGTCAAAATAAATGAGGAATTTGAAATAGAAATCCCACAGGGTCTTCTGTTCTTCACCAGGGGAGGGAGCAGCTGGGCATGGTTTAAGAGTGCATGTTCCTTTTCATCACCCAGAATGTCCATTTTCAACACCAAAACCCACCAGCTTCCCCTCCCCTCCTGCTTCCACACTAACAAATCCCTCCGCTATGGTGCCTGCTATCCCCCGACTGCCTCAGGCAGAGCTCACTTCCAGGGAGGATGTGTTCTTTATTGGGAAAGGGGACTTGAAGTCTTGTTGCTGCCATGGCCTGAGGTGGAAGTGGCCCTGCCAACGATGGGAAGCCTCACTGGGGAGCCACCAGGCTTCAGCCCTCCTCCCTGCTCCCACCTCAAACTCACCTTCCAGGCCTGTGGTGTCCCCATCTGTAGCTCGAGGTCAAATCACCTCTGAAGCCTGAGGAGACCCAGAGTGTCATACAGCCAGCTTTTGCATGTTGGAAAGGGAGAGAAGAGGAGAGTCTGGGGACCAAATTCTCAGCTTAAACCCCAGCAGAGACTATAAAAACAGGAGACGTATGGAGTAAAGACCTGAGGACCAGGAAATAGTTTTGTGTGTGCAAGGGAGAATGCAGCAAGGATGAGGGTGAGGATGGGTCTGTGTGTGCGCCATGAATGTGTATGAGAGAGAGAGACAGATGCCCTCTCCCCATCACAGGGCCACAGCGAGCCCTGACTACAGCTGGTGGGCAGCGAGAGGCGTGGCCTGAGCAGTCCAGCACCCAGGCCTCTGGAGCTCAGGATGCTCTGCCCGGCAGGTCCTGGTGCAGGCCTTCCAGTAGCACCACGGGGCACAGCTTCACCCTCAGCCCAGGGGACAGTTGGCCACAGCTCTGTCACCAACTGTCTTCTGGGAACAGAAACTCTGAGCAAATCTGTCATCACTGCGTTCACCCCAACCTCAAGCCATCTCCTCCACCCCTGCAGAGCAGCCCACTCCCGCCCACCCACCCCCGCCTCTCACCAGCACATGGTGAGGCAGGTGTGCCCCGACACCTCTGCACGGCCTCGGGCGATGTGGTGGGATCATAGCCCTGGCCCAGTTCTTCTCCCTGGTATCACCCGAGCGCCCTCAGCCTCAGCCCCAGGTCACAAGTCCACTGTCCAGGCCCAAAGGGGTGAGGAGGGAAGGGCAGAAGCCATGGGCAAGATCACAGGCCCATCACCCCAACACCCATGGGTCTCTCTGACAAACTCAGCCCCTGGCACCCTAGACACCATCAGGACCATAAGCTACATCAAGCCAACCCAGATCCCCAAAACCTCACCCTGTCCTGGGGCTTTCTGCAGGGACTTCAGAGAGAAGCTTCTTCCACCATAAAAACTTCTCATCCATTTTCTACACTCAAGTTCACAAGTGTTGCTCAGAGCCCACTGGTCACGTCCAAGGGAAGAGCACCGAACCACAAACATGTAAGGCCGGGGGCTCTTGGGCAGCGCAGCAGCAAGAAAAGGCATAACGAGCTCCCCCCAGCTCTACTTGCTCAGAATGGAAACGGCCCACGCTCCTTGTCCTTGCATGTTGTGGACAACAGTGACAAGGACGGCCAGCACCTCTCCCACCCTCCTCAGCCGCCCGGGCTGCTCCTCTCTTCTCCCCATTTGGCCACTCTCACCACCTTAGTCCCCCAGCCCCAGTGGCCATCCCTCCTCCACCACCTAGCACCTCCCCCTGTGGAGAATCAAGTAGCACACGAGCTCCTGAAGGATGCTGCCTGCACCTCAGGCTTCTGGGCGCCTTTACAGTGTGCCTCAGGGTGCGCAGCGCACAGCACCCTCTGGACCTTCATCCCCAGGCACAGCTGGTGTCGTGCTGGGCACAGCAGGAATCGGAGAAAGAAGAGCTCCCCGGTCACAAAGCCATCATCTCCTTTCTCCCTGTGACCTAACCCCCCAGCAGATGCAGGAATCTAGTCACAGTGGTCAGAGGCTGGAGTTTTGCATCAGACTTCAGCTTGAACTCTGGTTCCACCACTTACTGCGTCACTTTAGGCAACTTTTAGGACCTCTCTGTGTTTCAGTTTCCTTATCTGTAAAATTGAGATCACAATGCCTACCTTATTCCACTGTTGTGAAAATTAAGTGAGCCTGGCACACACCGTAGCCATTGTCATTAGCAGGATTCTCAGGTGGACCCAAATCTGAGGACTGGGGGCAGCAGGACCCTAAGCTGGGATTGCTCAGGCCTCGGGGTGGAGGCTCCTCAGGGCTCCACGTTAACTCCTCATGTCTACTCCCCCCCAGGCCTTTCCTAAGGCTCTCCTCCCTCGCCTCCTCTCCCTGTCTGTTTCAGGCATTGCTGGGACCACCTGTCTGCTTATTACTGCCTCTCTCTTCATTTGGAAGGCCCCCTCCCCAATAACAGCCTGTG